TTTTTTTACATTTTAAAAGCGAATGAAATAACACCTTATTGCGAATTTCAACGGAGAGCACTGGACATCTTCGACGTCAGTCATAGGCACAACCGAGGGAACTACTGAAAGCGAAAGGTCAAACAGAAAAGGCCTAAAATGTCGAAAAACGTCGGAAAATCCCCGTTTCTTTTTTTTTAACACAAAAGTCTTCCCAATCTGCATTTAGGATAAATACTGTGATTTGTTTTCAGTACCGATATTCTTGAAAAACACGGCACACTGAATCAAGGAAAACTGGATAGTTGACCCATTGTCCTCATTGTTGTGAAAATCAGTTGTTTTTTTTTAATGAAAAACCGCATAACTCCAGAGTTTTGGGTTATGGTGTTCTTGTTTGTAAAAGAAATGTTATGATTTGTGGGAGAACTAAGTATAGGCTTAGTCAAACTTAGAACCTGGATAACAGGCCATTATAGGATCTGGATTTGATCTTTAAATCAATTGATTCACTCAGATATTACCAATCAAACAGATGTTGACTACCCTGTCTTAGAAAACAACATAAAATTAACTTTTGATCAAAGTACGTATAAATCCAGTCAGCTCCAGGAATAATAAGAACATCCATCAATTTTATTAACATAACTTAGTACTGCAATTTGATGAACAAAGTAATATACACTTAATATAATTTTTGTACAAGATATGCACTATACAGATATTGGAAAACACAATTCACAATAATACTCACAGTAATATATAGTAGATGATCCAAATAACTTACGTATTCTAAATCAATGCAAAATGCACCTTCTGCACAACAATGGTCCTTTCATAATAACGGACTGAAAAAAAATACCCTTAAAACAAAACAAAAGTCTTGTTGGTAAACAAAACGTGCTGTTGAAATAGAGATTACAATCTCACATCGTTTTAACAAAATATCACTGCCATTATTGCTACTACTAACTGCTTTTCGTCATTTCATGGGTGAGCTGGTTTGATGTTTATCGCTTTGTTGTCCCGATACTGTTCCGTCTCAAGCTACGACGGAAAAACGGTAGATGTTGTTTCTCTGAGCTACTGATTTTCAAGCCGTTGCCCAATGGCTTATATTGTACGGGCGGAGGCTGGGAAGCTACCCCCGTTAGAGTATCACAGTCCCACTGTAACTCCAGATGCCTGAAAAGTAATTACTATTAAAATTATAGTAAGCAGCAGTAGGATAGAATACATCTGAGCCTGTCTGTAGTAACCAGGCCATACCAACTAAGGTAAAGAGGCAGGAAAGGCACTTTGAAGGAGAGGGTGCGGTATTAGGACGAGCAGTGAATTTAACGACGATTGGGCCAGGTTGTAAGTCGTTAGGCACTGTAAACTGCACAGCATGGTCACCTGTATACAAGCGCCTGTCGAGGGATGACGCTGTTGGAGAACGGACCCGCCGCGGCGGTTGCGTGGCGGCCGTGTTTTCCTTCACTTTTCTGGGCAGTGCGCGCCGCGTCCACGAAACCCGCGGGCACCGCACGTCCACGAATTCCGAAAGCGTGAAGTGGATCAATACCGTACATTAGCGTACAAAAATAAATTAAAGAAGACCGCTCAAAGAGGCACGAGAAGACCGCCCGCAGAGCGACTTCTGCGCGCCGAGGTCCACCGCCTCGCTTCGCCTTCGGAGTCCGCGGCAGATAGCGCTCAGGTGACGGCCTCCTGCCGCCCTTAGGCGGGGTTTCTGACGGACCCCGAGCACAGGCTGTGCTGGGGAGAGGAGCGGAGCGACGCCGCCTCCCTCAGCTGCCCGTGGGACGAGGGGCAGGTGTCCTCCTTCAGGTCCCCCGAGCTGACGGACGAATCTTGCTCCGGGTCCCCGCTTCGCGACCTCTTCTTGTCTTCCTCCTTCTTCCACTTCATGCGCCGGTTCTGAAACCAGATCTTGATGTGCCGCTCCGTCAGGTTGAGCATCACGGCCAGCTCCACTCGGCGCGGCCGGGAGATGTACTTGTTGAACAGGAACTCCTTCTCCAGCTCCAGCAGCTGGGCGCGCGTATAGGCCGTCCGCGTCCGCTTGTTTTCCTCCGGCTCCACCATATAGGTCCCACCTGCGCCACAGAGACACCAGAACAGCTTAGAGCAGGAGTTCCCAGTCCCGGTGAGCAGCGCAGCCGCTGTGGTAACTGGGGTGTTGGTCTACTCTGTGACTAAGCCCTGTTATGTGGTCTGTGCTCACGGGAATCTCGCGCTGCGGGCGCTGCTTTTATGTGAAGGGAGACTCCCTGCTATACATGAATGGGATAATATACTGTATACGATAACTGTCTTGTCTGGTCTGTGGATGAACAGAATGTAATATAATTATTACGTTGTTTGTCAGCCAGTGGTGAAATATTTGTGGCAGCGTGTTTGAATTTTTTTTTGGATAGTACGATGACATCCGAGAGATTGTTAACTTTGTATGAAACAATGTGCTGTGCATTATAAAATAACTTTGTTTTCTTTTCCATAAGGCACTGGGACTGGGCTGTTGCCTGGACTTCTTCCTTGTTAGCAACAAGGCCGAGTCACAGATTCTACGCCAGCCTCTGCCTGAGACCCGCTTCGCCGGACAGTTCAGCAGGGGGGCCTAGACCTGATCCTGGTGCACCACACCGCACACACCAGCTAATTTCTGCTCCAGCCGAGCCCCCAGTTACACAATTAAACCCTTCATTGACTTGATAATAAGAAATCTGAACGGTTTGTTCCCAGCTCCCACGCGTGTTGGAGCTTTGACCGTTGTAGTTTGTAAGCGAAACAAAATCCCAGGCTTGTGACTCGAAACAAAATGCAAATATATCATTCTAGAATTACCTTTTTCAGATCAATTGAGGCTTCAGTGATCTAATGAAGGGGGGGCTGGGATGAAACCCAGTGTGTGTCACCAGGTCCAGGGTGAGAACCGAGGGCTTAGACAATATTTGGCTGGTGCTCCATGTTTCTGGCTGAGATGAGCTCCAACCAAGTGGGGTTTGTGTAGGAAACTATCCATTCACAAGGGTAAGAACTCGTAAAAGTGATCACTCGTAAGTAGGCGCACAGTCTGCTCCAGTGAGGTTATTCGGAGCTCACCGACAGATCGATAACTCGAATGCTTCAACTCCGAAAACCACGGGTTGCAGAGACCATGGTAAAACGTTCGAATAATTCATTTGAAAAAATAAAGCGTTAATCATGACGACTAATTATTAAGAAAAGTACTCTGGTGTCTAGATGTACGGAGTTCGTCCCTAATTTCCATTAAGTCCTTATTGCAGATGGCAATCGTCTAAGTAGAATTTCCCAATGCATTTAAACTTCAGTTTGTAAGAAACTGCATCATTCAATTGCTCAGTGATTTTCTGTTGTCTTTTCACCCATCAAAGGTAGTATTTCAAAGATACGAAATTATAGTATGACTGGGGGAAAAAGAATCGCCTTCAGCGTGTGTGTGTTTTTTTTAGCATTTAGTATATATTTTATGCGATATTTAAAAGGAACAGCAAACGGAGCTGCGAAGCGCATTTCTTAAGGCTACAGGTTTAAGACATTTTAGTTGTCATTGCTATGAAGTTGATCCAGACTTTATAGGCAACAGATCAAAACGTGACTTTAAAATGTCCCAGATGGATGTTTTAATATGGGGATCGTGATTGGCCGAGATGGGGTCTCTTTATTACCCTTGTAATATGATTAGATTTTAAAAATGGTCAGGTTCGATATTAAAATAGTGAATTTGGACAATCAATTATACCGTAACCTGCCGAATGAGACATTCCATGGCTGCAATTGTAAAAATAAATTAAGCAAAAACTAACGATAAATTAAGCCGTTTTAAAAGCCAATGAAACGTGCCTCATTAGTAAAAGATTAATCATGTTTCCAGGCCAAAATAAATTAGGTCATTTTCCTAATGAATCGTTTGGAATTTCTGCCTTGGGGTATTCACTTTTCCAATCGGTGCAGAATTGGGTATTAAGTTTTTACTTACAGAAATCGGCTCGGACGCACAGACCGACGGGATATTACTTATTCCGACACAGCATCTAATTTTAAAAAGACAATATAGAAGTTCAATTCACTGTGATTAAATAATCAATTCTACGACGGTTTCGATGGCTAAACTAAAATGGTTTGCGTCTAATTGCTATGTAAATAAAAGCTCAATTTGTTCACAACAGAAAATGCCAAAGTAAAAACACCATCCACTAAATAACAATAACCGTAATTACAGCCCATTCCCCTGAGTTCACACTTGCCGATTTAGCCACCTAGACTACAGTGATTTCTACCAACATTGAAAACAAATTTAGAAATCAATGGAAATCAACGTTACTGCAGCCCAAACACGACATTTCTCCTTGTAACCCTTTTAAAGGAACTTGTGTTTATAAAGCGTTTTACCGTCGCACAAAAAAATAAAGATTCCGGAGTGAACGGTGAGCGATCAATTTAAAGCAATATAACTGAGCTTTCTTTAATATGCAAGTCGCCCGTTTATAATTTACACGAATTTAATTTGATTGCGTTGACCAGCACTCTTCCCAGGAAGGTGTCAGAACTAGTTCGGGTGGGGAGCTGCGTCAGCACGCGTAGGCCACAAAGGAACAAGTAGGTTTATTCCACGCTGACAAGAAGAGACACGAAGTGGAGACTTCACCCGAAGAAGGCTCCACAGCCGAAACTCGACGTCTCTTTTCCTTTCAGCATGGAATAAACCTGGACTCGTTTCGACGACAGAACCTCGGGTCTCACCATTGGGATCGGAGTGAAGGGCAGTTTGGTACAAGGCGCTCTAGCCGTCCATAGTGCTAATGGTTCCACAACCATTAGGCTTGTCTCCACATAGTCTCCGAGATCCACCCTGCTCAAGGGGATACTCAGAAATTTCCCCCAAGCAGACTTATTTCGGAAAAAGTTCAGTGCTTGGCAGCAGCCTGTATGAGTACTGCTGTGCTTTTCAACAGCCAACCGCTGGAAGCCGTGAGAATATTAAAAACCAAATTCACTTAATTTCTTTAATACTTACAATCGAGTCGTTTTATTCCAAAAAGGATATGAAATGGTATCGAACCGTCATGCTAAAGCCAACGAAACCTTAATACAATAGTTCCGTTTCTGCTGGTTCCGACAGCTGTCGGCCGTGATTCGGTGGGATTTCCCTTTTAAAATGTGTCACCTGTTGCTCATTTGAAAAATGTGACATTTTACAAGATATTGAAATCCACACTGGAGATAAGTAAAGGCATATCGTCATGAAGAACAGCTTTTAATTTATTGTAGTTACTGTTGGTATTTTCACCATTCGGGTAAATCATAATGTTAATTAATATTATGGTTAGTTTTGTAATTATATAAATATATGATCTGTTTTTTTAAAGATAACGATGGCTAATATTGCCAATCACTGCAATACACGATGATGCACATTATGACGCCCATTTATAGCATTCTAATACTAATACATTGTTCATCAAACGACATAAATTGTGTTTTATACTGCTTATATTATAAATAATTTTGCAGCCAAAAAAAAACAAATTGAAACGAATTATTACGCTATTAGAACTATAATTGCGAACTTTTTCTTCAATACTTTACAACTTAAATGCCAGCTGTGAAAATCTCCAAATCAGTCTAAGAAAAGCACAAATTTAGGATTTCTACAAATATGTCATTATTAAACTGCGGTAAATGGTTTTAAGAAGCCATAACAGGGTGTTAAAAAAATGATTCCTTATTTGAATTCAGTGCTGTTTTCTTCCAAAAAAAAATCAAGTTTTTAGCCGACTAGCAGAACAGGTAGTAAGTACAATGCAGTATTTACAGTAGAGGTGTGTGTGAAAGTGTAGACCACGCACTGTACGATAAGAACCTAAAGGAACAATACTGAAATTATCTGGATCCACACTGCAATAATGCTATCGAAACCTGCACACTGTTTTGGCAGTGCCCTGTAAGGGCTAATTCTTCTCCGTGTTACCGCTACTGTTTTTCTTGTTATAGATGTTTTTTCAATATGATTCACTTGTACATTTATTTTAGGTCAATGGACGTTTGAATGAATACAGAAGCAGATAAAAAAAACGAAGACATAAATGCGTATATTTTGTTAGTGCTAAATAAATAAAAAACGGATGGCCTTTTAAACCAATAAGACAGAATACATTCTGTGCCTTGCAAGGCATGTGTGGATAAAAAGCTCTACTTTGTTTCAGTGCGAAACCTGCGAGTTCTTAACCCGAGCTCTTAGATATTTCGCTCCTGAAACTTTTAGAAAACTATAATCGAATCCGCACCTATCTGGAAAGAGCTGGAGTGTTTTTAAAACTCGCTGAAGCTCTTACAATGTGTATGGGCCTATACAGAGAACTGTACATATGGATTTCAAAAGAGACGCGAAGATATAGACCTCACATTATTTAAAATCTTGATGTGTATTACCAAGTCCCTTTATTCAACAACTGATAGGGACGTATTAAATAAAGACCTTCTGGAAGCTATAACTGTGCACATAAGAGAGCTGCTTGCTAGCCCGATTTTTGTTTTTACCTCTGTATCGCTTTCTCTTAGACTATTTGGTTCAATTTTTCGTGAGAGTGCAATTCATACTTTGATAATTTAATTCTACGTTTTGTTATGGATGTAAAGCTAAATGGATCCTAACGCACAGTTGACACATTCAGAGAATTTGTCGAGTCCGTGACAGTACTTGTCCCTCGTTCTGTTCCAGTTGGATTCGGGATAATGCAGACGTTAATGAGCTCACCTGTACTGGTCCAGGCACATACAGGCCAAGTGTCTAGATTAATACAGAAATTTAATTTTTGCCAATCAATGATAAAACAATGGCCCTATATTCTTATACACTGTAACTAAGCCGCGCTTGAATTCAAGTTAAGGAAAAGAAAACACTTACAACGTCATGAATAGATCAATTAAACGTATATAAAGGTATACATTGTCATCATTAGTGCTTACTTTTGTGTCAGTTTGCAGTATGCAGTAAATGCAGTATGTACAGTAAATTTCTGATCTACATTATTATATCTCTTTTCTTTTTACTACGGTTTTCTTGTATCGTTTCCCCGTTCGAAGAACCCGCTTCTGTTTCAGCACGCAGGCCTGCGGGTATTTCTTCCCCCCTCCAGTACAAGGACTGCTCTCTCACACGGTAGGTTTTTGGATACAAAACTCGGAACTGGGTGACACACGCAGGCAACAAGTTCTCCAAGCCTCAGCGCCACGCAACCTGCAGGTGCCGGACGCGGAGCCCGGCTGGGACGGGGAAACCGAACCGGCTCTTCTGATAATCCAGGGGGAGCAAGTGTTGCGCATAATGCCGAGACACGAGGCTTTTACCTGTCCACTGGCCTTTCCAGGTGTGTGCGTGGGACTTGGTCGATTTCATCCAGGGAAAGGGCAGCTGGAACCGGCTGCGCTCGTCCAGCAACGCCAGGTCCGCGGGGTCCCCGTAACAGCCGGCCTGCTGGTGGGGCGGCGGGGGCTGCTGGGGAGGGTGGTGAAGGGGTGACACCCCGGGGTCCTCTCCCATGAGGGGCATTTCGTACGGGGAGATGTCGGGAAGGCTGGGCTGCTCGAGACCACAGAGGGGGGACGCGGAGTAGGGCCCCTGCTGCTGCTGTCTGCCCATGTAGAGGCAGGGCGGCGGGCTGTGGCTGTAGTCCTGGCTCTGTGGTCTCTGGAAGGCGCAGGAGTCCTTGTACAACTGAGCCGAGCCATAGTAGTGCTCCTCTCTGTTCATGGCTGCCGGTGCCGAGGGCTCTACGCCAGCATGTATTTGGCCAGGCTGGACGAGGCGCGGGTGGTATCTTTCCAGTCCCCCCTCGGCTTGCGCCTGTGCAGGTCTCACGTTATAGGCCCATATAGGTGTGTCTGCGCCGCCATGTGATAGCCACAGCACTCACCTATTGGTTTCACTCCGCACAGAAAGTCAGATGACAAACTTCCAGCAGCTCGGATCCCCCCCCTTCCTCTCTCGTTTCTGCCCTGCAGTTGGATAATAATGGAAAATCTGTCCGTGTGCCAATCAATCGCTTGGGCAAACATCAACGTTTACAAGCAGGCACTGAGATAGACCTATGTGTCAAGCCCCCGCCCCGAGAATCCAGGTGGAGAGATACCCGTGGAGCGCCCGAAGTGGGAATCTGCAGCCTGGAGTGTCAGGAGACTCGACCGCGGAGATCAGGAGGTGCTGTTGGCTGTCCAGCTCGCAGACCGTCACACATTAAGGAAAGAAGGAAAGATTATACCTGATGAAGGCGTGGTTCCCTCCAATTCTTAATATTGGCACTTACGGTGTATTCCTATTTAATACATTACCGTGTCTCTCACGGCCAGAGTTTCTTCATGAGGCTCATACTACAGTATATTTCTGATTCGACAGGTGTGCCCATGAGAGACCAGCCTCAAGTTAGTGGAGAGGTCCACCTGTCAGATCGGGGTTGAAGTTGATTTATTTTTTTTGAAAGCAGTAGCATTTAGAAAGGCGTGCCGTTCTGTAACTACTCTGGGTGAACCGGGTCCCCCCCACACACACACACACAAACCATCCCAATGTGGTCGAAAAGTGAAAAGTCACCTGGAATTGTAGCCGTAAACGGTTTGCCTCCCAGCGACGTCATTCAACCATTTACTTTTATTGATAAAAAAAAGGCATTGCGGCGTTATCAATATAGCGACCGATAGCGAGCTCATCGATCACGCTGGGGAGAGCTGCGAGGAATCCGTCTCGAATGTGTTGACCTGCGGCGATAACCCGCGCGGATGTGGAGGTGGTTGGCTTGGAGACGGGGACACGCGGGGGCGGGGAACGGCCGTGGGGGGACAAAGATCATATTACTAGCCGAGCTCGTCAGGGCTCTCTCTCACAGCCCGACTGTTTACACTCCTCTCTCGGTATAATTGTACATTTCTGAAAATTTGTACCCATTAAAATGCTTCATTTAACTCCATTTAGGCATTTAATCTCCGGTGACATGGATATACTTTTTTTTAAAAAAAAAAAGTTAAACAATGCAGCCTTACCCGTGTTCTGGGGCCATTCAAGCAGAGAGAGTTACTGACCGGAACAACCCAGTCTGTAAATAACACAAAAGACCATTTACAGAAGACCGAATACTGAAATACTAAAAAATGCATTTTTAACATTCGTGTTATTGTTTTTTTTTTCTTCCAGGGCGATACGATGCGCACATCTATTGAAACAACTCTTTATTTGTAGTCTTCTTCAGCCCCATTATACAGCACAGCTGTTTCTGCTAGGAGGAGAGCAGCAGGGCCCAAGCTGACCCATTAGGCGATTACTTTCTCGAGCCATTTAACTGCGGCTCTTATGGATAAATAAACAAGGGAGCTGTAAACCAATTATAGTATGGTTGGCGAAAAAGTACTTTATTAGTGTGAATTACTGATATAGAGAGAGAGAGAGAGATTCTCCTTCCGGCGGAAACCAGAGAGCAAGGCTGCGCGTGGTCTTCGCCCCAGTCGTGTAACGTTTTGCCCCCTTTTTGTGTCCCCATTAAACAAGACGGAAAACAATCAGAGACGGGGTCGCGAAACCAGAACCAGAGCGTAAAAATGGAAAGAGGAGGAGATCTAAACTGAGACGACGGCCACCCTCGCACAGGGGGCTGTGGGGAGGGCCGAGACAAGCCGTCCCGCCCTTTCAAGGCGCGGCTGACGGCGATCGACGGCTCACTCAAGTTTACTTCAACTCAAACGACCTACATTAGGCCACACGTTGACCACACTCTTGTTTGTAATCTTTCACGCGTTGTAAAGCCTGTTCTCTTGTTCTTGTTCTCTTGTGGCCCCCCGTGAAACCGCTCCAAGTCTGTAGTGTGCGCACCTGTTGACCCGCCCGAGTACTGTTACATAATATCAGAAAGAAGTTTACGAAAAATATACACATTTCATATACAGCTTCCATAGAGCGGCCGTTGTGGTGTTACCTCGGGGTTTCTTAAAATTAGTATCGCCAATTCAAAACGCAAAACCCTCGTTGAATTCGAGGACCGTATTTGTTCAAGGAAAAAGAAACACCATGTCTAATCCGCAGCTTAGTGCGTACGGGGCACTACGACAATGTTCACCGTGTTATTTAATGATTTATTTGGTCAGTCGTATTGTATTCAGTTTGAGTACCCGGCCAGTAATATAATGAACCTTTCTATAACAACTTAATGGGAACTCAGCTCGAGGCTATAAACTAAAAGTAAATTCATTCCACTCACACGGGTCCATTTAATGTCGCTTAATGGTATTTATATTTGATCATCGTTTTAAAATTAAGGAAACTGTTAACAGTAACTACGTTTACAGAAGGGGCAATGTAATTGCCGCATTTGAACCGTAAATACGATAAAGCATTTAACGAGATTTACAAAGAAAGGGCAAATCCGCATTATGGTTTAAGTGATTCTAAAAGGCTGGAGAGGATCATTAACTGAACGCAAGTCTAGGGAGCTGGAGTCGACTCAAATGAACACCTTAGCCTTTAGTCTTCATGTAAATTAGCCAGAAGTAAACGAATGTACTTCAGTTTCGGCTCTGCTTGTTGTAATGAAGACATTTGCATAGCTTTTACATGTCCCTTTCCAACCACCGAGGCCGTTGGAAGTGAATGATTTATAAGCACGTACGTAAGCATAGCACGTGTATTGTTAATGGAAGGATGCAGACAAAAATCAATGTGAAATAATACCGCTTTCACACTTCTGAAAATCATTTGATCTAAAAAACTCTCCTTCTTCGTCTTCGTCTTCGTCTTCGCGAACTGAACCCACCAGCGAGAGCGCGATGGCCGAGGTGCAGCCCAGCACCTAGCTGGGATTACTAGAACACGCCATGATTTATTGTTCTGCGGTTTCCCTTTATAAAACGGACAAAGCCCCTCCTGATAAAAACTGACATGTATCAGAAATACTGAAAAGTGATAAAAGCCTGCTTGCCCAGTGGCGACAGCGCTCTGCCTTAGCAAACAAGGCCAAAGAGGCAGGCTAACGCCTGTGGAATGTTAATGGCTTTTTAATTGATATAATACAGCTTTGCCGAGTGGCAAGAGAAAGGCTGGAGTCGGTTTTTAATCACCTGCTTCGGAAAGACGCACAAGGGCCCTTCGCGCACTGCTGAGCCATAAAGGGCACGATGGCCAACCACCCGGGCCGACCCGCGCCCCTCCTCTCTCTCCCCGCGTTTTAACGCGCTGGGAGTCGGAGCCCCTGTTCCCAGCCGTAGGGAACGGCCGAAGAGATGAGAGATTAGGGGCGTCTGCGGGGAATACCAGCGGTACTCGCCCGTTCCCTACGACCTCTGAAGCGTCCGGAGGGCCGCGGGGCACCGGCTGGAAGACGGTTCCACCCACCCACTCGCCCACTCACCCGGGGGAGGACGGAGGGGGCCAGGAGGCACAGCAGCACACGGAAGGCGAACCGCGGAGGTTACATTCTCCCTGTGTCCCCAGCCGGGGGAAGCTGTCAGGTTCAGAAAGAGCGGGACCGAACGAGACCATCTCTATGTACTTGATGTAGTGGATGTGTCTGAGACGGGTATTAAATGCGTCTTTCACCCCCTCGTAGTCACGGCTGAAGGCGTGAATACAGCCGAGTGTAAAGATTGGTAAAATAACAGCTCTTCAAAGTATTAAATGAGACACGTCCAAGGCACCCCGTTAAGCAAAGTCATTTACCCTTTTCTCTCTTCCAATGCGGGTAATTAACTCAATTTAATTTAATTTTCCATATGATTTTGCCGGTGCGCCCTGCCCAGGTGGTTATAGCATTGCCTTGCTGTCTGAATGTAAATACACCCATGTAAAACCCTTGGGATAAAAACGGATTATATATATATATGCGTGAATATATAATTAGTTACTAATCAGTGAATTCTTAATTCTTATTAATCGCGTAATTGATTATAATTGAGCGCGACACTGTAGCGGTTGGCTAGAGCAGGGGTTTACGCATCTGGTTACTTATTCTGAGTTTTATTTATCTTGTTTCTTTATTCTCCAGTGTCAAAACCGCCCGACTCCAAGGATACACTTTCCAACAACTTCAGCACGCAGACCTGTACACGACCTCCCCTCAACTTGCTTTCTGTTATGTCTAGGTGGGTCGCTGCGGTCAGCATGCGTAGGCTGCAAAGGAACAAGTAATAGGTTTATTCCCTGCTGAAAAAAAGAAGAAAGAGAACACAACGTTTCGGCCGTGACACCTGTAGAAGGCTCCACGGCCGAAACGTTGTGTTCTCTTTCTTTCTTTTTTTCAGCATGGAATAAACCTATTACTTGTTCCTTCTGTTATGTCTAACCGAGCAGCTCTCACTGAAAAGTCTGTGTCTGTGTCACCTGTGTCTGTTTAGAATTCAGTTCGACTGAATTCTAAACAGACACAGGTGAGGATGACAGGCAGTGTATCAGTGTATCAGTGTATCAGACACTCCCACACAGAGAGTGATTTTGTTTCCCTTCACACCTGAACGAGGGCAGGTGGGTATCTCAGAAACTGGTCCAGGGTTGAATCCGTGTACGAATCCCATGTGACCTTTTGAAATCTGAAAGCAAACCGACACTATCAACGAGGCTGCGATTAGGAACTCGACCCGAGCAAAAGCAAGAGACCGTGTTCCTGCAGAACCAGGGTCTTAAACTGCTGCTAAAAAAAAAACAACCATGTTGATCAAGACACCCACAGCGTGTGTGTGCCAGACGGCGAAAGACTGGAAGGACTAAGCAATGATAATACGCGGTTTTCTGCTAATGGGGGGGCCGTACAGCTGAAGAGACGCTGCGGAGCGAATGACCTGTCTTGCGCCGCCTGCTGGGTAAAAGCCTTCGAAAATCAAGAAGGCAGACAACGAAGGAAAGACTGATGTTTATGTTTTATTACCTCGTTATTGAAAACGTCTACACTTTGGGATATATAAGGTCACCTGATTGGCCATATATAATTTCTTGCACTAGTAATTAATCTTTTCGCATACCCCAGCTTGCTCTCCACGAGACCCACAGACAGGGAGAGAAGCTGGGGGTCAGAGCGCAGGGTCAGCCATTTATACGGCACCCCCTAGAACAGTTGGGGTTAAGGGCCTCGCTCAGGGGCCCAGCGGAGTAGGATCGCTCTACCGGCCGTAGGATACGAACCGGTAACCTTCCAGCCACAGGCGCAGATCCTGAGTCACAGAGGCACCGCA